AACCACTCCTTGGATATCTTCAGAAGCTCTCTCCAGAGGCTATTTTATCCCTCTTTCTTTCCTTTTTAGGGCCAGTACTTAAGCACCCCGGGTTGGCCTCCAATAGCACCCCTCTGGGGCACAGGCTCTGTCCGTTGGGTTGCAGCTCCTGGCCAGGGAGCTGTTCACCTCTCCCGGTTCGCTCAATGTACTGGGGGGCTCCTTCTGTCGGAATTATCACATGACATGCCCTCCAGGCGCGGGATTGTCACATGACAGGGCGGTCTGGTTGACTCACCCAGCTTCCCTCAGCTCCGTCCCCCTCCCGGCAGCTCCAGCTTGCCGGGGGTCACTCTCCGCGCCTCCACCGACCTCGACGCTCCCTCGCGCACCGTGGCGTTTCACTCTCGAGCAAACGCGGGCCGAGGGCGCCCTACTCGCCGGCCCGGATCCGCCCGCCGCGTTGGATTCGCCGCGCAATCCCGCGGCGTCGATGCATCGCCGGGGCCCGCGGAATGGTGCCCGGAACCGGCCTCCATGGCCCGGCTTCCGCGGCACGGGGCGCGCCGGCCGTTTGCTGGCGCGGCGGCCTTTCCCTCTCGGTCGCTAGGCGCTCCGCCCGCCTCGATCCCCACGGCCATGTTGGCCTTGATTCGGCGGGATCGTGGGCCATCCGCGGGCGGTGGCCATGGGCATCGTCGGGCCCACAGCACCCCCGCGCGCCTCCCCTTTCCGCGCGCTCCAACCGCTTCCCGGCGCGCTCCATCCTGCGCGCTTCCTCCAGACGCAATGGCCAGCCCGATGGCCAGCCTCCTCCGGCCTTTGCAACGTCGGCATCTCCGGCGCGGTCGATCCAACGGTGGCCCATTCCGGGGCCGCGCTTTCTCCGTGCCCAGCGAAGCTACCGAGCTTCACCCGGTTCCATAGGGCGCCTACAGCATGGCACTCGGCCCCGCCTTTCTGGCGCTTTTCTCCCCGCTCAACGGCCAGCTCAATGGCCAGCATCTCCATCCTTTGCACCGCCGGAATTCGCAGCTCAATGGCAGGCCGTTTCCATTGCACCCGCTTCGAGGCACGGCGCCTTTGCACTCGCCTCCGTCGGCCGTATTGTCGGCCTCCACCCACGCGCGTTTCTCCTCGGTTTGCCACAGCACTCCAGCGCATTCGATCCGGGCACAATGCAGCGGCACCAACAGCAAAGGACACCAGAATTGCGGAAACAACCGTGAAGGTCGTTTGGTTCAGCTCCAACGGTCTCACCGGCATGCAACTCCACTGCACCATCCACCTCCGGCCTTCCAGTGGCCGCGCCGTCCTCCAAACGTCACAGCACAGCCAGCACAACTTGTTTGCCAGGTTCCCTGTGGCCCCACACTTGCATCGCCGGCAACACACTCCCAAATCTCTGAACCGTGGACCACAATTCCGCACCACGCCAATGCAGAAGTCCCCGCGGAAAGTTCCCGGATCGCCGGCCAGCGGGTCGGTGGCATCGATCGTCTTCCTCTCCGTCGTCACGCACACCTTGGGCCGTGGTGCAGCAGCTCTCACACAATGCCTAGCACCAATTCATGTCCGGTCGATTGTGCCTCTTCAGCGGCGGCAATTCGTGCCGTTTGCCACGCAGCCTCGTCGACAGTCCTCCTTGCCTTCCGCAGCACCAATCCCTTTGGCTGCTCGTCTTCTGTGCCGTATGCCATCGTCCTCACACCTCCGCCGTTTCCATTCTCCTTCGTCGGGTTGGATCAGACCCGGTTCTCCACCGAATCAAGCCGGGATTCCTCCACCGGCTTCCCGTCGACCTGGGAGTGCCGTTGCGCTGCCATCCCTTGGGGTTGCACTCCTCTCCCCGCCGTCGGAGCGGTCCTTGCTCCGAAACCAAATGATACGGGGCCGAAGGCCCCTCGCGCGCGGACAGGGAATGAGAACGGGAGAACAATGCTCCCGAGTGGTCTTACATTAAGTACATGATACAACAATCAATTGAATCGTTCCATTGTCCATACAACCACACATTCATTATCTTTGACCACTCAGAAGGTCCACAACACAATCAATATCATCAAAAGTCATCTATCATCAAAAGTCATCTAATCTATACACTGTATCACTTATAGCGACTGGTATATACCAGCTGCTCACGTTGCATTGTTAATTTTGCTGTTCAATATTGACCAGGATTATTCCGTGCGCATTGGGCCATCACCTCTTGCAGTGCGGGCCAGAAGCTGATTTTGGGTATGTTCAAAATTGAGATTATGACTGTTCGTGGTCCTACACAATGACCATCAATTACGTGTGTGGATCAGTAACGCCATTGGCCGACGTCAATTATCTATCCAATACGCGCGCACGCGCGTGCGCGCGTATATTGCACACGCGTGCAGTGCATGACACGAGGAAGGCACCGTGGCTTGCAAGTTCCAAGTTGGAACAGAGGAGCATGAAAAATGCAGTATATATACCACATTTTGAAAAGCCTCGCCTATCTTCTCGTAGTTGAAGAGCAGATATATATCTACTCTTCAACTACAGGAAGATACGTCAGCTTTTTCCCAAAAGAGTTGCTCCGAGTATGGATGTCACTGGAGGAAAACTGAGGAATGAGAACAAGGGAGGTGGTGTATCAAGGAGGCACGTGTTTGCCCAACTGTGCATTCGCAAGATTCACGCCGCTGACCAGATCCACACATTTGCCACGAAAGATGATAGCTTCAAAGACCCTGGGTTATAAGGGCTCAGGCTGTGTGGCTTAGTTGGTTGAGCTTCGCAAGCTATGACCTGGTTTCTTAAAAACTATCTGGGATGCCTCGCCTGACGGTCGAAGGCACACTTTGGCATGTTAAGTCCTTCGGCATTTAGGAATACAGCGACGCGATGCCGTTTACTCCTGGCCATTTCGCCGTCGATGACCACGATGACAACTCGTTGGGTATCGCGTATGGGAGGAGGTTGCACGTGCGGTAGAGCACGTTGGCCGGCGTCTGAGACCGGCAATGAGGCACACTTCTGGTCGCATCAGAGGTACCGTCCAACACCGGGGTTGCTGGGGAACAGCGGCAGTAGTCGCCTTTGAAAGCACCAAGATAAAATATGGCATACCGAAATTCCAGCATTCAGTGGTTTGGGCAAAAAAATGCAGTTTGGTGGCAAAGGCATGACATCCAGTCTGTTCCTTGGATCGTGTCATTATAATGCATATTGAATCTATCCACTATAAAAGTAAATCTCGTTGCATAAGGAAACAGAATTGTCACCGATGGCACACTTTCCGAAGCCATTCTTGACTTGTCGTCGCATCGTAACTCCACTTGGTGCATGTAGTTACATATAAGCAACTGGATACGATGTCAATTGCAATTGACGTATTGTCCACTTACTTATGCTTAGATTTCATTGGAAAGCACTGAAGGCCCGATGTTAGCGTGGACAGCATCCCCTATCACTGGGAAAATGGGGCCAAATAACACGTGTTCAAACGTCACGTTTGTACACGGTGTACAAAGTTAATGGGTTTGGGGTATTTTTGTGTTCTTAGCGGGCAGAACTTTGATGGAATGTGTATTATGTGTGTTTGCAAAAGTGTTGTTTGGTCCTTTTTCTTGCTAGTGCATTACGCTAATTGCGACTTTGACAGACCTATATATATGTCAATCAAAGCGTCTGACAAACTCAGATATATCTGAGTTTGTGGATTGATTCGCTGTCACACGAGCTTTGCGCAAAGAGGCATGACACATGCTATTTGTGCCACACATAGTCTTGTGCCCTTCTGCATTGGTTATGTGCACGTATCCTGGCATCAACTTGGAGAAGCGAGCGGTTTCATCCATCTTAAAATCTCCATGCAACCCCTCGGTGTTGACGCGCACAGGCGTGCACATCAGCACACTGCCGCCACATCAATTGCTACCGCTGCGCTGCCATGACGCGCCCCGCTGCTATTTCGCACGGCCGCCGCCATACAGCCACTGTGCTATGACACATGGCCTCCTTGTGGAAGGCGCCAATGTCCGTCAGAATGCGTTGAGCTTGCGTGATGTGCAAACCAAGATAATGGACTGTGCGGAGCATTGAAGCGAAACGTACATTTTCTTGTACATTGCAAATTCCACAGGGTACACAGACGTGATGGGCAGGTTTTGCTTGCAGACTGCTAGTATCGTGGCCAATGGGCTCCCAACTGCATGGGAAGTTATGGCAATTCTCATGTGATGGGTTGAATGATGTTTGTCCCCATGCATTTTGCGATTTAATTTCAAGCGCCCGGTCCTTAATAGAGACCAGTCTTGGGCTATATCGCGGGGGAGTGCTGTGTAGGCAGCCGCACGGTTATGCAGTTGGGGTTGCCTATAGTTGAGATATGTACGTACAAACGTATGCGTTGACGGACACACTTTGACAAAATTCTGTACAAGGGCCTGCCATGCAGGGGAACATACGTGGGAGGTTCAAGTGTCGTGTGGGAAAAATCTGTGTGGGTGGGTCCCGGGGACCGCTGAGGCAGAAGCGCCGTTTCGTAAGCGTTCCCTTTTAACGGAGGCGTGCCGTTGCGAACCGCCGTCAACCAACCTGACGGACCCCCGTTGTACCACGTCCCTGCACCAGGTGAGCACGTGTAGTGTGCCATAGAACGGCTTCGTGCACCCATCTTCATCAGTTCATCGGGGATGGTGTCACATCAATCATGGGGTCACATCATCTATCATCTTGGCGGTGACAAACCGACCTTAACAGAGGTCACCGTCGTCGGCAAAAGGGCAAGGGGGTTTTGAGGGTCGCCCATACCGGGCTGACAAACTACACATGTCCGCCATCTCAGCCGCCAGCGTCTCGCCACTGGCCGCTGCGCACCGCTGGACCCTTCGATCCCTCCACCCCGTCCTTCATAAGCTGCCGTCACCTCCGCCTCTGCCGCCTTGGCCCAGTGTCCGCCCCGGAGCGCTGCACGCCTCCAGTCCACCCCCCGGGGGCCCCACCCCGCTGACAAGTGTCGGGCGCGCGCCCAGGCCACCGCCACAATGGTGAAGTCAGGAGCCGCGGATTCCAATATCTTCGGGTTCCCTGAATACGAAGGACAGACGGAGTTTTTCCCTGATGGGGAGGCCGCGCTGTCCGAGGGAGTGGGCTATGCCGTCGTGCTGGGCTTCGGCGGCTTTTTCAGCCTGTTCACGACGGCCATCGTGCTCATCGACTACTACTTCGGCGGCACAAAGTTCACTTCGGAGCAGTTCAACTGCGCGGGGCGATCGATCAAGACGGGGCTCACGGCGTCGGTGATCGTATCCCAGTGGACGTGGGCGGCGACGCTCCTGCAGGTGAGGGGGTTTGAGCGGCCGCGGATCTGTGCTGATCGTGGCTGCAGGGACGGCCGGGAGCCATGCCTTGACCCGTTCGGCGATGGCCCGTTCCGCCGGCTCGACCCCTGTGGCGCCGTCGGCGCTCATGTGACTTAAGACGTCCGATTCCCAGCGTGCAGCATTGACTAGGGATTTGACGCAGCGGAAAGGGCACTGGGGAGCGCGTGCGTTGTGTCCATGGGGGCGTTGTCCTTTCCCAAGCTCCGTTCTCCGGCGATGCGCTTTGTCCAGCGTAGTGGATTCGTGGATCCCAAGGGAAGGTCTCCAGTTGTCCCAAGCAGCGCTCCTTTGGCAAAAACTGGCGCCGGTGCACAAGGCCCCTTCCCACCAGTGGCCCCCGCATTCGAGCCGTGCAGCGGTTCTCCGCTCTCCGGCATGCGTCCCGCGCAGACTGTCACGTGCGCTGGCCGCACCACCCCCTTGGCTCCCCCCCCGCTTTGGTGGGGAGCCGCTTGCCTTACTGATACGTAACGGTCATCCTTGCCCGTCCAAGGATCACGTGGGTGAGACATGAAGGCCCTTATGTCCAGTGTGAGACCATCCGGTACAGCGGCGGTACATCCAGTAACGCCAGCACCCCGCGGCGTGGAACTGCGTCGATGCACCACGGGAAGGTGCACGGTTTGGTGGGAAAGGGTGCGTGAAGTGCCAGCGCTAAGCACTGATCGCTGCCTTAGGGCCCGGGGGGTGATCCCGGGAAGGGCAACGAGCCGCCCTGCCACGACAAAGGCATTGGCCGTTGAAACGACCGGCCACTGTGCCACCGTGTTTCGATTTGTCGAACGACCGAACCGTCGCCGCTCGCCGCTCTCCGCGGGCGCTGCCACGGCCTCTCCTTGCATCGCTCGAACCTGGGAGCATCTTTCGTCCCCACCATGCGCGCCTGTGTGCTGGGAAATTAAGTCCTGGCCAGTTAAGCGTGCCTGGCAGGGCCCCTGGGGTGGCTGTGCTCGCGTGGGCCCGCGTCTCTCTATTTCGCCGCTGGATCGCCGGCGCATTGGAAACCGCGTCGTTTGCACTTGTGTGCCGGGAACTACGAAATAGAAGCCGGAGAGCTGGAATGTCCAGCACAGCTGCTGCTGCGAGAGTTGCTCGTAGCTCCTGCACGCCTTCAGGGCGCTGTCCTCGCTTCATGTTCTGCGCCTGTGCTAAGTTGTCTCCCTGCCGCACTGGAATGCAGAGCTCGAATGTCGCCTACAAGTTTGGTGTGAGCGGCCCGTTCTGGTATGCGTCGGGTGCCACCATTCAAGTGCTGCTCTTCGGCATTCTCGCCATCGAGGTCAAGAGAAAGGCACCCACCTGCCACACCATTCTGGAGATTATCGAGGCTCGATGGGGGAAGGCTGCGCACATGGTCTTCCTTTTCTTCTGCCTGCTCACAAACATCATCGTCACAGCTATGCTGCTGTTGGGAGGGGCAGCCGTCGTGAACGCACTGACGGGTAAGGCTGAATATGCAAATTGATGACTATGAATTTTCAAGCTGAACTGTTGAACAAGGCTGAATTTTCATGTCTAGTTGTGTGAGTTCAGCAAGGACGCATGACCAGGCAGATACACCAAATGATCACAACTGTCAGGCTGCACTTGTGTGGACTCGTTTCCCAAGATTCATATGGATGTGGACCTGGCTACGGGCAAAGCAGGGTGAAGGGAGCTGCTGGCAAAAGAAGTGTTTCTGCTTTGCAGATGGGATTCTGCAGTGTTCCACGAGAATTTTGTATATGTGTGCGTGGTATCCAGGAGCTCAGCTACTGGATCCAGATGAGGCATCAGTTTGTGACTTCTTATGGAAGCGCTCCTTCATTCCATGCGAGTGTGCCCACCCGTGCATTTCTCCTGTACCTTAAACCACTTGCATATTGGCTGATAACCGACAGTGCCTTCAAGTGCAAGGGCTACGGTTTGTCACTCACTGGATAATTGCTGCGAACGCATTTACCTCAGGGTATGTGTGGATTGGATCTAATATCTTTGTTCATGGTGTTGGTGCTCCATTACTCTGAAGGCTGTGTGTGTTTGTACGTCGACAGGGGTGGACCTGAACGCTGCAGCATTCCTCATTCCCATTGGTGTCATTCTGTACACGGCGGCCGGGGGCCTCAAGGCCACATTCCTGGCTTCCTACATCCACACCACCATCATTTTCGCTGCTCTCTGCATCTTCATGTTCCAGATCTACGCCACCCATGAGGACCTGGGCAGCCCCTCGGAAGTGTACCAGAAGCTCCGCAGGGTAGAGGAAGAGCACCCAGTAGAGGACAACAGGGATGGTTCCTACCTGACCATGCTCAGCCGTGGTGGCTTCATCTTTGGCATCATCAACGTCGTCGGAAATTTTGGAACGGTTTTTGTGGACCAGTCCTACTGGCAGAGCGCCATCGCGGCCAAGCCTTCCTGCACGTACAAGGGGTACCTCCTGGGAGGCCTTTGTTGGTTTGCCATCCCCTTCACCCTGGCCACGGCTCTGGGCCTGGGGGCTGTTGCCCTTGACCTGCCGCTGACAGCCGACGAAGCCGGGGCGGGACTGGTGCCTCCTGCCACGGCAGTGCACCTGATGGGGAAGGGAGGCGCTGTCCTCATTCTCGTCATGCTCTTCATGGCTGTCACCAGCACAGGCTCTGCTGAGCTCATCGCCGTGAGCTCCCTCCTGTCATATGACGTGTACAGGACATACTTCAATCCTAAGGCCACTGGGGCTGACATCATCCGGGTGTCGCGCTACATAGTCGTGATCTGGGGCTGCGCCATGGGTGGCCTGGCCATTGGACTGCAGGAGCTGGGGCTGAACTTGGGCTGGGTGTACCTGGCCATGGGTGTTTTGATCGGCTCAGCCGTCATTCCCATTGCTTTCTGCCTGACGTGGAGCAAGTGCTCACGGTACGGAGCCATTGCTGGTGCCCTCATTGGCCAGTGGGCTGGCATCATCACGTGGCTTATCTGGGCCAAGGTGGGCTATGAGGAGGTTACTGTGGACACCACGGGGAAGGACTTCCCCATGTTGGCTGGCAATCTCATGTCCATCCTCTCGTCTGGCTTCATCTGCGTGGTCATCAGTTTGATCTACCCCGAGGAGACAAACTGGGATGAGACCCGAAAGATCCCCATGCTTGAGGTGAGTTGGGCGACGGCTTGCTGCTTCCAAGCCCGCTTACCCGATGTACCATTGTATGATCTCTGTCTACATTTCCGGTCATGTGCATCTCATTGAAGGCTGTGAGACAATCTCCAATAGCTTTTAGGCGGTAGTCTTGCTACCGCAACAATTGCTGCAACCCACTATTGTCTTGGTGCTGAATCTGGCCTTGCCCTTTGCCCAGCATGACCCCAACGCTGCTCTTGCGAAATCGGGAGAAGACTCGTACGAAGGCATGACTGCTGCATTTGCATGGACTGTTAAGTACGGAGCTGGCGGCACAGCCTTGCTGGTCATCGCCTGGCCCGTTTTGGCTTTGCCTGCCAAGGTGTTCAGCGAGAGCTACTTCACTTTCTGGGTGATCATCGCCATCATATGGGGTTTGGTGGCCACAGCTGTCATCGTCGTGTTGCCCATTTATGAATCGAAGGATCAGATTGGCAAGATTCTGGGCAACATGCTCAGTGGCCAGTTCGCAGCGGCCGAGGACAAGCAGAGGCTGGGTTCTTCAATTGATGACAGTGCCCACAATCCAGCTGGTGTGGTGAAGGAGGAAGAGAAGGAGGCTGCCGCAGTCACTGAGGAAGTTTGAGGAATGTACTGTTGAACAATGGAATGTACGGATCCGTGTGCTGCTGAGGTGGTGGGATGTGCAGGGCAAAAGACGTTGCCCACTGAAATTCTTGTCACTAGCATGTATACATGTTGAGTAGAGGGGCTGCGACTTAATCAATATGCCAAGTCTGATGCGGTGAGACAGGCTGCTGCTAAAAGCTCCGCAAGGCCGAAACAAGCGTGCTTCTAGCCCGGCAGGACCTTTTTGGTGTCAGTCCTGCAGATTGAAGGCACCATTTTGCGCTGCATTTGGCGAGATGCACTGTATTGAACAGGGCGTGTACTGGAGTGGCCTATAGAGGTGCGGGCTTGCATCAATTTCTACAAACTATGTCTCCATGTCTGGTTTAGTCGCAAATGTATGTACAGTGAGGGGTGCATTGACATTGGATGAGAGAGAAAGCGTTGTTTGCGCGAGAAGTCTCAACATGTGCATGCGTGTGTGTACTGGGTGTGCGGCATAGGGCGAGCATTGGCTTTAGATGTGCACACTCGGCAATTGTGAAATTCATAGCTGTCGCCTTCCTGAAGAGAAGGTCGGCTTCATTTTTTGGACTTGGATTGTTGTACCTGGCAACGATGTATTACATCGTTAAACGAGCTACTTTTGGTAGCATGGATTTCACTAGCTCAAATTTCAAATGGGTGCGGACTGACAGCTCGAGTGCGGCGCACTAGTCACGACACCATGTCAGACGAGAAACTAAAATCACATTCCTAGAATTCAAGCGCCGCCTGGGCGATATCCTGAGCCCCATTGGGATCTGCGACAGGCGATGCACACTTCAGTACTCGAAAACACCTTGGGCCTCGCAAGTTGTTGCAAGATGCGCTACCTCACTGCGTCCCTCTGGTTTGTACCAGAAGATGTGGCGCTCTCTGCCTGAATCTTTTGGTGGATCTTTGCATCCTCTCCACCTCACGATATACCACCTCACAATGAACCAATATCCACCTCACAAACAACCAATATGAACAATTGATGTTGTGGGGCGATCACGGGCAAACGAATTGCCCGTTTCACACAGTTTCTGATATGTTTCAGCCACTGTGCATTCGGGGCAACCGATGATCTCACGGCTGAGGTGACCGAGGGCACCAACAGTGTGGTCGCAGCGAAGGGGTATTCATAGCAATACAATATCAACAATACAATTTTGAGAACCCTGAGATTCCCAAATGTAGATCTACGTGGACGCGCCCCAAAGACACCGCAGAATGCTCTGCATCGATTGCAAGAGGCAAGCGGTGGCTGGAATGATAGAACAGTTGAAAGTCCACCCCCAGGCACTCAAATTCAGGGGAAGATCTGCCAAAATTTCGAAGGATTTTTGCGTTTCTGCCTTACCGGTCTCCTTCAACCCCCCCCGTGTTCCCCACACGACAATACATTACGTGCACACAGTTTGGTGTCCTTCACCTTACTAAAACAAGACCCGATAGGCGACCCACTTGAACATGCCCATTCACTCTGGGGCACGGTGCAGCTCCTCCGGAGCGAAGGCGTGGTCATGCCTTGGTCACACTCGGGCCGATGACGCCCCTCCGGGGCAGAAGATGTGCCCGTACTGCGCGTGTAGGTCACGCGCAGTAATCGTCATCCATCCAAACAGGCGATAGTCCCACTCGGACGGCAGCCGGTACACGTCAATGTACTTCCACATGGCGTTACTGCGCCACTCGCCCCACGCGCGTATCCGCCCCTCCGGCACCTCCAGCGAGTAGCAGGCGCTGGCGCCCCCCGCGCGAAGGCCGTGATGATCGAAGGCTTCGGGCGGAGGGGTAGGGAGGGCGCGCAGGAGGGCGGGGAACCAGCTGGAGACGATGGGCGCGGACGGGTCGGACTTCCCCGGCAAGGTATAGAAATGCTCCGAAGAGGAGCCGGCGTCCGCCCACGCCTTGTCCCGGGCCGCAGACCAGCGAAGGAAAAGATCGACGACCGCCGGTGCGCCGCTGGAAGGCCAAGAGCGGCAGCGCACCCGGGGGTCGGTATTGGCGCTGAGTTTGGTCCGCCGCTCGCGAAAGACGATGAGGCCATTCTCGAGGTGGAGGTCGTCAAGGAGGATCAGATGTCCGCTCTGCGCCCGATTGAAGAAAACGAAATCAAAGACCGCAGAGCAAGCCACGCGAAGGAGGCGCAGATCCCCCGTAGTCAAGCCAAACTCTAGGATGGCGCGGAGGACCTCCGTCGGAACCGGGCGATGGGAATGGGCCGGCTCCGGGTCGGCCCGACGCCAAGCCTTGGTGAGCCGCCGAGTGACCGAATCGAAGGCGGAGAAGTCGAGGTAGCCCATCGACTGATGCACCATGGAGATGGCAGCCAGGTACTGGGGGAGGCTGCGAACGCCGACGCGACCTTCCTCCCGTAAGAAGCGGATGTAGCGGTAGATAGACGATGGCCGCGCGGGAAGCGCCTCGAGGTCGTGTGCCGCACAGAAGGAGGCGAACTTGGAGTATTTGGTATGCATCGACTGCCGCATGGATTCCGTGTAGAACGAGAGGAATTCGGCCTGCATCCACGACCGATCCGAAGACGAGAGGCCATCCACGTCGCACCCGTAGAGCGGGTGGTCCGGAGGCATGACCTCCACCGGGAGAGGGTCCGCGACCGGCGATCCGGGGGAGGACCATGGCGTCACAGCGCCTGGGTCGGACGCGGCAGCCACGGGCGAATGTGGAAGGCCCGCAGATTCCACCGAGGGGGAGGCAGATCGGCCGGGAGAGACGGATCCCCCGGCGTGAACATTCCCGCCTGGCGAGGAATGGCCATCTCCCGCGCGGCCAGCCGCCTCAGCCGCGGGAACCACATCGCCGACGGCCAGTCCGGAGCAAGGACGACCGCTTCCACCTCCGGGTGCGCCGTCAGGAACGTTGTAAGGCGCGGAAGGAGCGACCAGGGCGGGTTGGCCCAATTGGCTTCGCCCATCCAGTCTTGGAGGAATGCATCCACTCCCGCTGAAAGCGGCTCGTGATGCCGCGAATTGAACTTGGGGCAGAGGGAATTCCGTTGGGAAGCGAAACGGTCGATCGTCCGGGGTCCAAATTGCCGTGTAATGGCCTGGAAAATGGCCGGGTGTAGGCGGTAGTCCTCCCCATCCGTGACCCGCGAGAGGCGGTCCGGAATCGTATTGAGCTTGGACGGGATGTACTCCGGATCGATCAAGAGGGCGCGGGCCGAACAGATCCGCTGCAGTTGGCGGAGGGGCCCCCGAAGTTGGTCGGAATTGGTCGTCATGCTGCGGATGCAAAAAAGGACGACCTGCGAATCCACTAGGAGGCGCAGCCTGGCCGAGATCGAGGGGAAATCGAGCGGAAAAAACGCCCGAATGGCCAGGGCCACCGCCTGCATTTCACGCACATTGATGTGCATCAAAGATCGATCGAAAAAACCCCGCGCCAGTTGCGGGCGATCAGAATGGGGGGGCGTGAAAGTAGCGCCCCAGCCCCGCAAAGAGGCATCCGTTGCAAGGGTGCCCGCAAAGGGGATCGCGTCCGGATTCAGCGGGCGACCCTCACACCGATCAATGTTGATCCAAGCCTCCAGATCGAGGCACGCCTGGGGCGACAAACGGAGGCGATCCCGCCAAGACCGCTTGGTGCGGAGGACCCCATAAAGACCTTGCAAGAAAAACAGAGCCAAAGGGAAGGCCAAATAAAGGGAGATGGCCTGCCCGCAAAACCAGGCCAAATCTCGAGCCACCACCCAGCACCGTTCCCAAAGAATTTGGGCCCGGGCGGCAATGGATGCCGCTTTGTCCATCGGAACCGAAAAACGACAAGTGCAAGTGTCGATCACAATCCCCAGATGCCGCTTGCGTTGGACCGGATCCCACTGACATTTCCGGTCCTTGAAGCGAATTCCCAACGCCTGGAAAATCTCCCTCACCAAGCTGGACCATTCTCGCAGTTGGTCCGGATCACTCATAGCGGCAAGAAAGTCATCCAAATAAGCCAAGATCACAGCGGGATCGGCGATGGAATAGCGCAGAAAATAGCGCTGAATCGAGTCATTTCCCGCTAGACAGCCGAAACGAAACCGCTGCGCTGCCTTGGCACACGATCGGGGTGATCGAAGGAAACGTGTGACAACGAGCATCAAATGAGTGAAAAAATAAGGAGCCAAAGATAGTCCAAAGGGCAGCGCCCGACATGCGAACACTTCACTTCCCATTCTGAATTAAAGAAAGCATTCATCAGCGAGACGCATACGCAA